TAATATTTGTGTGCTTTATTCTAACAAGATTTTCTGCTCCAAACTTGCCAGAGCTGAACCATTCACAAGTATATGCTGTGAAAAGCATTCTACAAAAGCCACTTAGCCTTATCCAAGGTCCATCTAGAACTGGTAAAACTATCACATCAGCTACTATTGTCTACTATCTTGCAAAGATGAATCCTGATCAAGTGTTGGTTTGTGCACTGTCAAACATCGCTGTCGATCAACTTACAGAAAAAATACATGCAATCAGACTTAAAGTAGTTTGCCTCACTGCAAAATCACATAAGGCATTAGATTTGCCAGTGTTGTTTCTTACTTGCATGAACAAATACATAATAATAATACCAATGTTGAATTACAAAAATTAATTTAATTAAAAACTGAACAAGAGGAATCAAGTAGTTCTGATAAGAAAAAATATAAAGCATTAAAATGTGCCTGTGAAAGAGAGATTTTACAGGTATGACCCTATATTAACTTTTAAAATAAGCTAAACAAAAAAACTCTTCTATATAATTCGAACTTAATAAATAGTTATATCTCTATTTTATATAAATAGAATGCTAATGTTATACTTTGTACATGTGTTGGTGCCAGAGACCCATGCCTATCCAAGTTCAAGTTTCGAACTGAGTTGATTGATAAAGCCATATAAGTAACTGAACCAGAATGTATGATACTATTTGTAAATACTTAAATTTTTAAATATTTACTATTTGTCACAGATTTTCAAAATATTAATAGCAACAAATATTAAAAAATACAAATAATATGTAACATCAAAAGCAAAAGCAAAATTTATTGCATTATTTAACTGAATACATTGTACGATTTAGCAAAATATATTATTTAATTGCTACATACTATATTAATATGTTATGAATTTATACATCAATTTCTTCTTGATTCAAGCATCTATCAAAATAGGTCATAGTATGTCAAATCCACCCAAGGCAATCTTCTTCAGATACTGCATCAAATGCGTTAGCAATTCTACTCAAAATAGTTTTATGATCTCTAATTTTGTTTTATGCTACAAGGTCCTTAACTTTAGAAAAAGTACTTTCAATCAGATTCAAAAATGTCAAATAGAAGGGAAGATAGAAAATTTTATGAGATAAGTCTTCAACAATATCTTTTACAATGTATGTTTAATGGATCACTGCATTATCTATAATTAAAAATTTTTTTTTATTTATAGGAACTAAGAAAATAAGCTCTTGAATGAATTCAGCAAAAGTATCAGCATTAGCTGATCCCAAATATGCAGTGTAATTTAAAACACCATTTTTGTTGATTGCTGCAATAACTGTAATATTTTTTCCTTTTTGTGTTTCTACCACTTGAACTGCAGGTTGTCCCTGAAGTGAATGGCCATGAGAAGAAGATAAGTGCAAATTAAATCCAGTTTCATCAATATAAATTGCATCTTTCAACATGTCAATAACTTTTTGATGAATTTTTTCAACATATCTTTTTCTATCCAGGATTTTATTAGAAGTATTATGTTTATGAGGTATAGTTACTAATTGCTTCAAAGTAAATCTGATCTTATTGACATATTTTCTAACTGTATCATTGCTAATCTATAAAATATTTTATTTAAATATAATACAGTTAAAATAAAAAGCCTTGGTGTTACCTGAGGTGGTGGATAATTTTTTACCATCCTGTTTAAATTAAATATTAATTCGATAACACATATTAGGGTTAAGAGATGTTGAAGTTAGAATTAACAGTTAATTTATATTTAATTTAGACAGGATGATATAAGTTATTGCCACCTAGGATGGTATCAATACAACTCCTAGTTAAAAATATATATATATTTATATATTAAATAAAACTATACCTCTAATTAAGGATATTTATCAATCAATTTTTTGGTTAAATCTGCAATAGTAATGTATGGTTCTTCATTGATGCTTTTGCTTAAAAAATCTTTATGCTTTTCAGTTAAAATAGATCTTTTATCTCCATCTTTTGGTTTGAGAACAACTCAATCTTCTATATCAAATTGTTTTACAATGTCATACACAGTTAAACGTGGAATTCGTAACTTTGCAGCAACACTTCTAATAGAATTTTGCTTATTATTGACTTCATCAATAATTTCTTTTCTTTGGTTTAATGAAATTCGTTAATATTTATGATTTTTAGGCAATTTAGGCATAGGAAATACTCAATACAAATATAAATCTCTAACTTGTTTAGTATATATATAGCATAAAAAAAATCTGAGTAAATTTTATTAAACTATATAAATTCAATTCCATAGTTAAATTATATTAAAATTATTGCATATATATATCAATATATAATATATTTAATATAAAAAAAATTTTGAGCAAATTTTATTAAATTTAATTAGCTTTAGAGTTAGATTATATTAAAATTATTACATATTGTTATCCTATATCTACTTCTTTTAAGATAGTAGGTAACTAGAGTGACCTTAGACAGTGAACACTTTTTGT